TACGTAGTAGTAGTAGAGAGAGAGAGAGAGAGAGAGAGAGAGAGAGAGTAGAAACAGTGTTTTTAGTGAGAGAGACGAGAGTTAGTGCCTCAGTGGGTGGAATCGATTCTAGAGTGCGAAAAGAGGTAGGGTCTGGTTCACAGAAAGGAAAAGAATCAAGATGGTTTTGACAGAGAAAGAGCCACATTAAGATGGAGTCAAGCTAATATTAGATACATAAAAATTGGGAAATGGCTTAGAAAGAGAGAGGCAATCAAGCTGGTTTAGAGAGAGAGAGACACAGAATCAAGCTAGCTTTTGCAGAGTGCACAGCCAGTTAGGATGAACTGCGAGCTAAAATTGTAGAGAGAGAGAAGAAAACCACTTTTGGATGGATTTGGAGCTAAGATATGAGAGAGAGAGAGAGAGAGAGAGAGAGAGAAGAGAGAGAGAGAGAGAAGCGAGCTAGTTTTGGATGGATTGGCACAGAGAATGAGATGTGTGAGAGACAGACACAGGGAGAGACAATCAAGCTAGTTTTGGATGGATTGGAGCTTAGATAAGAGAAAGAGAGAGATAGAGAGAGAGAGAGAGAGCGAGCGAGAGAGAGAGAGAGACTCAAGCAGATTGGTGCTAAGATGAAAGAGTGTGTGTGGTTTAGACTTTAGACGGAGAGAGAGAGAGATTCATCCAACCCCATTTCACCTCAACTTTCTCTCACTTCAAAGGAGCTCCGGTTCTTGACCACAATATCAAACATATGCACTGACTTGAACCTGCTAAAATCCCTTGGCAAAGAAATGAGGTGAGAAGAGCAAGCCTTATGAAACTGAATCTTATCAGGGTCCTCATACCACCTCTCCCACCCCAAGCCCCTGAGCTTGCTCTCCAAAAAGGCATATGAGGTTATGACCTCATCACTTGGGGTATAGACAAGGACCCTCCTCTTGGTGCAGGCAAGCTCGGACCCATCAATGGACTCGACTGCTGGGTTCGAGACGAGGCGAGCCACCCCATTCTTGAAGACCCAAACCCCTGACATTTTCGAACCCACTTGGCTCCTAAGAGAAGCTCGAGGTCTTCGGACCCACTTTTGGCTCGTGGTGCGCTAGCGTAGAAGAAGCTCAAGCCCTTCGAACCCACTTTTGGCTCGTGATGTGCAAGCTTAGAAGCTCAAGGGGCATATGGGCACTAGAGCCACCATTCCCATGGGTTTTTATAAGGTGGGTTTCTTGGGTTCTTTTCTTTCAACTTATATTTTATATTGTTTGGGTTCTTCTCTTTCTTGGGTTTGTATAAGGTGGGTCTCTTGGGTTCTTTTCTTTCAACTCATATGTTATATGGTTGCGCTTTGGATCATGAGACGGAAAAGTATGTAAAGAGATGTATATAAAGAGATTATTTATATTTGGTATAAATGAGAATGACTTTTGTGAGTTAGACTTCAAATCCGGTGGTTGTAATGGTGTTATTGAAAAAAAATATCTATAAAACTTCATAAGTCATTTTTTTTTTACATTTAATGGCTATGAGTAATTATAACTTTATTATAACCCACATAAATAGTCCCATAGTATACAATCCGGTAAAGGAAAAAAAAAGTGAAAGAGAGAGATTTTTTTTTTGTTATTTTTGTTTTTTTGGACTTTGGATAATGAAAAAGAAGATCGAGAGGGAGACGATTTTTTTTTTGTGGTTCTTTTATTTTTTGTGTTTTTTGAGCTTTGGATTATGAAAAAGGAGAGATAGAGAGAGGGGGGTAGGAAAGGTCCGGCCACATTGATGTTAACACACGCGGCACCAAAAGGGAGAAATCTCCAGGTGTTGGTTTTCTCCTCAAAGCACGAATCTTTTTCTCCTTTCTGGGGATTACTGTTCATACTTTTATGTTTTCGGGTGCGGTCTAAGTGAGACTGCGGGCTTATATTATTTTGTAAAGTTGCACCTCCAAACCCTGTGGAAAAATGATATTTTGGTGTAAGAAATCTTAGAGGTAGTATGAAATCTATTTTCGCCCTTGGTTATGGATTTTGAAACTCAAACCATAACCATTTGGCGGATCTATGAACATTTGGAATAGACTATCTAAAGAATATTTGACAAGTATTTTATTTTTTAAAACTGAAATCTGATATTTTTTTTTCTCTAGATCTATAATTTTTAAGGTTCTGTTGATCAGTTTGCAAGTACTTGGTGCCCGACTATATATTCTTTAGGTCAAAACTCCGGCCCCAAAACGATATTGCCCCCAAATTTGGTGGAGGTTTGGCCCAATTTAAAGGATTTTTTAGGTTTAGGTTTAGGTTCTTTTCGCTTGGCTGGAGTCCGAACTTCGAATTTCGCGAAATTTGGGCAATGATTCGGCAACTAGTTCACTCAAAAGAATGGCCCAAATGAATGTACAATTGGGCCTCAATTCTGGCCAAACAATAATATTCCCATCAAATTTAGTGGAGCATGGGATTGAGCGAAGCTAAATTTAGAGCTGATCTATTTTTCCGAATTCAACAGAAATTTGTTGAATTTTTAGGACCTAGAAGTAGGGCATTGTTTGAACATACTCATTATCACTAACAATTTAATGTTTCAATGAATTTAATTGTGATGATGCATATATTTGTTGTTTGACTGTGTGTATTGTATAGTCATATGAGATAAATTTATTAGCAATTTTATATATAAGTTTAACTTTTTGAAATGTTGTTTCTAATTTAGACAAAGTAATTTGTTGGAAAACATATTTTTTTAGCCAAAAGTAGCTAAAAATCGCCAAAAAAAAAAGTTATATAAGTTTAATAAAATTATATCTAATCTAAAGTACATACCAAACATCTAACAAAATAACAAAGAAATTCATCACATTATTTGTTGTTTGACTATACGTATTGTAAAGTTTATTAGCAGTTTTATTTTATAGGTTTATCTTTTTATAATGTTGTTTTTAATTTATACAAAATAATTTGTTGGAAAATATATTTTTTAGCTAAAAAGAGCTAAAAGTAGCTAAAAATCGCCCAAAAAAATTATATAATTTAAATAATATTATATATAATTTAAAATAGGTACCAAACAACTAATAAATAATAGAAAATTTTATCCAAATACCAACAAGAGATTAACTATTCAACACTTTACCCATTTGGAACTATTCCAATACAAAATCATGTATTTTGTTTTATGAGTATTTTGACGTTAAATCAAAAGATATAGGGACAATGACAAGAGATTAACTATTCAACATTTTACCCATTTGGAACTATTCCAATACAAAATCATGTATTTTGTTTTATGGGTATTTTGAAGTTAAATCAAAAGATATAGGTACAAGGACAAGAGATTAACTATTCAACATTTTACCCATTTGGAACTATTCCAATACAAAATCATGTATTTTGTTTTATGGGTATTTTGAAGTTAAATCAAAAGATATAAGTACAATGATAAATTGTTTATCTCTTATGGATAATTTAATAAAAAATTTAAAGCAATAATATCCAAAGTATATTAATTTCGGATAAGATAGTCTACTTTTGATAAAATGAATTATCTTTACTCATTCCTCATTAGCATAGTCTAAGATAACACCTCGGAACATGCAAAATATTGGCCATATTTTTCAAGGGATTGTCCACCCAAGAGGTCATTTATCTTTTGTACATGGAGGTCACAATCATTCTTGTCCCTTGACTTTCAAAATGGGTGGTTATAAGAATGTCATTGAATAGAGGCGAAGTTCCAAAAAAGAAATCTCGGACGTTTGACTTACCTCAAGTCATCCAATTTAACATCTAATGAGTGAGAATGATTGTGACTCCATGTATAAAAGATAAAGAAAAGTATATAATTAGACCATTAACATTTGGTACAAGGTGGTCGCAATTAATCTTGACCATTATATGTGAAATTGAGTGGCTGCATTTATTTCATTGACCCATTTCAAAGTTCAAAAGAAATTTTCTCGAATTTTGTGATGCACCCAAGCTATTAGATTTCACATCTAATGGTTATAAGTAATTATAACCTCCATATACCAAAGGAAAATCGTCTCATTGAATACAATCTCAAAAAATAAATGGTCTCTTTGTAGATAATCCCATTATTTAAAGAATAAGATGGTGATGGTTTAGGTTATATAGCCAAAATCACAAGATATGGTCAAATACCAATAATTTTAAAGTTTATAGTTGACGTGAAATGTTGTTTTTTGAAGGTTGAAAAAAAGAAAGAAAGAAAGAAAGGGTGATATAAGCCCCATTATTTTCATTGTTTTAAAAAACAATGGCTGAAAACAATTGCGATTGTTTTGAATTGTCACCACTATTTAGGGAAAAGTTTATATAGAGCCTAGGCCCTAAATAATCAAATTGGAGCCTACGTCAAAACTTTCATTAGAAGAGGTTGTTATGATACCCAAATATCATCAAATTGATCATCTCGACATCAAGATGTATGAATATGATAAATTTCAAGTTTTCTAAATAGTGCATTTTGTAATACATTTTTTTACCGTCAATTTTCAAGATTTTCAAGTTTTCATAGATTGCTCTATCTACACTATTTTTGAAGATTTAAATTTTATAACTAAAGATAAAATACAATTTAATTTTATCACAAAAATTTCAATTATTGAAACCATATTACTCGATACTATTTGAAGGTAGGCTCTAATTTGATTGTTTAGAGCCTCCTCTATACAAACCGCACCCTTATATTTATTAGGGAAATTTATCACAATGCATCTTACATTTGGACTATTTAATATTTTTCTAGGTGCATTTTGATAAATTTCAAAATTCATTTTGATGTGTCATTTAATGGGGGGAAAAGTTTATATAGAGCTGAGGCTCTAAACAATCAAATTAGAGCCCACACCAAAAATTTCACGAGAAAAGGTTGTTTTGATGCTCCTAAATATCCTCAAATTGATCATCTTGACATCGAGATACATGGACAAGAGAAAAAATGGATTTCAAGTTTTGGAAATAGTGCATCTTGTAACGTATTTTTGGACCGTCAATTTTCAAGATGTTTAAGTTCTCATAGATCTGTTCAATCTACACTATTTTTGAAGTTTTAAATTTTATAACTAAAGATGAGAATATATTTTAAGGGTATCACGAAGATTTCTAGTATTAAAACCACATTTTTCTATGCTATTTGAAGGTGCGCTTTACTTGGATTGTTTTGAACCTTGGCTCTATACAAACTGCACCCGAGTTATTTGAAATTTGATCAAATGGACAATATGAAATAAAAAATGTGGGTAAGATGTAAAATAGTTCAAATCATGGCATAGTTTAATAAATTTTCCTCTTTGTTATTACTCATGTCATATAATGATAGTTTTCAAAATATATTTTAAGACCTTTTTCTTTGGTAACGAGGCTACAATCACTCTAAATCGTTAGATTACAAATCCTAGGGCTGAGGATGTGTTGCAAAGATCGTGAATTTTTCTTTGGAACTTTGAGCTTTGTCGATGGCATATCCCCAACCATCAAATTTTAAATCTAACAACTATCGGTAATTGTGACTTTCTTGTACCAAAAATAAATGATCTTATTATATATTTTCTTTCATATAATATCCATTAACTTGTTATGTTTAATAAAATCATTTATTTTAAACCTTGACATATCAAGGACTACCATATCGTCTTGGTTGCGGACCCGATGTTACAAATCTATATATTAATTTTTAAAAAACTTCAATTTTTTTTTTTGTAGGTGAGTCGGTGGGAAAATACCCTTACCCTCGATAGAAATTGAGAAATTGAGTTTAAGACATAGCGTTGTAAATTGCCAAGCACTAACCAATTAAGCCTATGCCCTTCCTAGAAAACTTTAATATTCAACAATGAATGTTGTGAAATAATCCATGCATCTGGTTTTTATACATTAGATGATATAATTATTGGACTACGTCCCAATATATTGACCGTCCATTTACAATAAACAATTGAGACTGCATACTATTGCAAATAGATGGTGGATGTGACTGAAGAGAGACAGCCTGACAAATACTAGATGTTAAAAAATTTTCTTTTCAGTAGATGGTAGGTACATGGATTCGACGTATCCTCGTCTTTCTGCATCCCTTTCTTTCTTACACAAATGTCAAGAGATTCTTAGATTCATGATTTTGTTGTCTCACCTTCTTAATTATAAATTATGATAATATTCTTGCTTGGGATAAGTAATGTTATGATTATGTGTTCATGTAAGGAGATGTATTTGGTGTAGTCGCCGCTTTATACAACACATCAATTTTTACCGGAAAAGACAGTATCAATATAGGAAAATTTTCAAATTAATCATCTCTGCTTTGATGATCATGGATGTCAAAAAAAAAGTACCTCTAAC